CTACAAATACCACCATGCAATCTTTCAAGCATTGGTGGTAATTCTTGTGGGAGTTTCCAAATTGAAGGCCGAGTAATCATTTTACCTTATACGCATGCACAACATAATTCCATAGAATCTACATCCAGAGGCTTTAAATTGTGCTCAGTTATACATGGAATGATCATTTTAAATAATGTAGATCCTGGATGTTCCAATTATCTATGCCAGAGAGAAACACGACTCTCTATGATAGATGATGCAAAATTAAATATAATGGGAGGCCGAATCATAATTTAGTATAAACCATTTTCTGTAGCAAAAGCTTTTTCAACAACTTTATAGTTCTTTGCAAGAACCAAAACCTCTTTTCTATTTAAAATGGTGGTTGAGAGGTGATAACCATTAATACACACATCTCGGTAGCTGATCAGACTTCGGGGTGTTGAGGATGTAAACATTGCATGTTTATATTTTATAATGGAATCCGCAATTAATTTTACCATTCGTGTGCCCTCTTGGAAATAAAACGATGTCGTGTTATGGTTCGGCTATTATATGAAAATAATGTAATTATGTACTTAATATATAATTTATTAAGTAACACGGTAAGAGCTATGTTAGTAGATTTTAGTTGGTTGTAGATTATAATTTGGTTATTATCCTGAGAAGATTTTGTTTAAAAAGACTACTATAGAATTTATATAACTTTAATTTCTTTTTTGATAGTGGCTTTTAAGATTGGTTTAGTTCATAGTAACTTCTAAATATTTAGAGTTACCTTTATTAGACATTGGTGACCTTTGAAAACTTCTTTTGGTTCTTTTATTTGGTGTTTAGAGCATATATTATGTAAATCTTATAAGAAAAAGGATTGAAGAAGGGTTTTATTAGCAAAGGGAAAAATTAGGGCACCAATATAGATGAATGGAGATGAATGATGAAAATCTCCATTCATACTAGTCAAAAATCATGACCAATGGGCTTTGAGGAGGCTGCCCGAGGCCATATTAGGGATTAGGGTTAGTTTCTCGGGACCATTCGAGTTTTAAAAGCTAGGGTTAGAAGGTTTAGGGTTTTGACTATGATGTTGGTGCAAGTTTTGTATAGTTTGGAGTTTATATGAAGGAGATACAAGCACTCAAAGTTAAGGTATTGATTTGGGAGCTATTGTCACTCTTTTCCGCATAACACACGTGCACCGATAGCAATTGAGGATCGGCGACCGCGACTAGAGAGAGCACTTTTGCGGCTATATTTTTTACATACAGCTTAATGGATTCCAAGTTGAACTAAAGGAGTTATTGGATTTTGAAGTCAGACATGCAATTTAAGGATAGTAAGTAATCCAATTTGCGAGTGGTTGTCTCTTGAGCTAAATCTTGAGCAATTTGACAAGGTTTTGGCTCCAAATTTCAGAGAATGTGTAATTTCATGTTAGTAAACTTTGTCTACAAGTATTATGATATTTGAATATTGGATTCTTGAGATATTAAGAAAATAGTGTTCGGATGCTTGTAAACTAGGGTTTAAAGCATCTGCTAGAGTTTCTTAGATGTCAGAAGACGGGGGTGAATTTGCAGTAGATTGTTTTTTGTGATAAAAGTTAAAGGTGAATTCTATCTATCCTATAAATAAGAAACAAACTGAATGGTTAGATCAAGAGTTATGATTTTCTAAACTTTGGGACAAGAAAATCCTTCGCAGAAAAAATATATTTTGAAGGGGTTTTGTTATCTTTTGAGTTTTATGCAATATAAAGGAGTTCTAGGAGGCTAAACAAGATTCATATAAAGATTTAAGCAACACTCTACAGCTAGATACCTAGTGTATTCCAGGATAGCAAATCATGCCATACGACACCTCATTTACTCTAGCTATGGTCATCATATTTTCAGTTTGTCAAGTTGAAGATTTTTCAATAAAAAATTGTCTATCTCGCGGTGTCGTATTACGTGCTTTCCTGCTCGAGAACGCGCCGGGCGTCTGGCTGTAGAAGGTAGTATGGAGATTCACCGATAGTCAAGCAGTCTATCAGTTTTTGACTGCTGGAATATAAACGACTGCAACAATGTACCGTAAATCTATACGGATGCTCTTCGACTGCTTGTCGAAGTCTTTTTTTTTGCCCCAGCCGATAGGTCTCTAAACGTTACAGAGAACCCCGAACAACCCAAATTGTTAATCTTCAATACCCCTTTGTACTTACGATCTTGTATCCACTGACTGTCCTGTTAGATTAACCCAATAAATTTCATTCACTCTGCATACTCAATCCTATAGACACCCCTTTAATCCTTTAATCACAGACGTAACTCGATTTTATAAAACAGTCAAGAGTATTCAAACCCACTTCATTTAAAAATCCCGATTCACCATTACAACACTGACTTCAGCAGCGTTTGCCTCAGTCTTCCCAAAACTCTATGAAGAAGAAAAATCCAAATTCTATGTCTTTCCTTCCCCGATCCGAAGCATGAAGCTCCTCTCTCTAATTCCCTTGATCTTCAAAAAAACCTCCAATGAAAACCGAACTGGTAACCTTGCAAAAGCTTGAAAACTAGCTCCCTCCCCGATTTCACCCGAAAAAAAAACCTCCCCCCTCAAAACTATATCCCCCCTAACCTTATCCTCTGAATTTCTTCAATCTTCCGTCTTAGATCCGGAATTGGCTCCCACCTCAAGCTTGGATCCGAATTTGGCTCTCGCCGTCAAGCTCTCTCCTCCGTTTTTACCTTTAAGAAATCCATTTACCGAAAACAACGTTCCCTTAAACGGCACAGAGAACAGGACAGCCTGAAACAGAATCGAACCCCGTAATCGGGACCACATTGAGTCGCCCGACCAATTCAGGTCCTATATTGGGAAAGATGCCCATAGTAACCTGGATGTTCCCGTAATTGGATCAAATTGGTCCTCGCGTCAGATTGGCTAAGACCCGTAGTAAGACCTGGATTTCCCATAATTAGACTGCATTGGGTTGACCGACCAATTCAGGTCTCATATTGGATAAGAGGACCCGGATTGGATTATCGATATTGGATCCAATTGGCTCCTCGAACCCGTCGTGTGAATTGGTCCTTCTCTTCCTGCTGACTCCCGTTATTGGAATCGAACGGAGCATTTCAGTATGCCCCGGCTGACTGTAACGGAGTGACTGAACCTGACCACTCAGTATTTGTACTGGAGTTGGTCGATGCTCCCAATATTCGAGGTAACTGAATATTAATAAAATTCTCCTTTCTTTTTATTTTCACTGTATACTCATGTTACAACACGACAGCGGGATAGTATGTAATGTTACAGAATCAATGCATGCATCATTTGATTCATCATTAGAGATTTTGTCATTCATATAAGGCTCTAAATCATCAACACCAATTGAATCCATCAACGCATCTAGGTATGATCTTCACGAGCATCAGCTCGTAGTTTCTTATTTTCTCAGAACATTTTAATAAAATATTCCGAAGTACGACACGCATGTGCTAAATGTCCAATCATTCCACACTTATGGCAAGAACGCATCTTTGATTTTTGTTTTCTACTATAATTAATAGTAGAATGTTTATTCTTTCCATATGGGTAGAAATGGTCATGACTATGACTACCCTGATATTTATGAGCACATTTTCCATATTTATATAATTTTTTCTTAGACTTTGAAATATTAAGTACATGAGATTCTTGAACTGTAGTTCCAATAGGACGAGCTTTCGCATTGCGCAAGAGTAGCTTATTTTGCTTCTTCGCAAGAAATAAATAGGACATGAGATCAAAATGACTCTAAAATTTCATATTCCTGTATTATTGTGCAAGCACAACAGATACAAGAGGAAATATAGAGAGAGTTTTTTCAATCATTTCTTCTTCAAAGATGCTTTGTCTACATAATCATAATTGTGAGACAATACTACACATTTTACTATTGAAAGCATTTAAATTTGAAAAATCCAAGACACGTAAATGTGTCTAATTATGACGTGCACGTGGAAGGAAAATGGTCTTTTGATGATCAAATCCGGATTTAAGATTCTTCCAAAGTTCTATAGGATCTTCCATTTCCAAATATTGATAATGTAATGCACGTATAAGATGACGACAAAAGAGAAGTGCTTTCCAACAAATAGAAAGAAGAATAGAAATACTTATTATAGGAGATTCTTCAAACATAATGGCATTTGAGAGTTGTTCTACAAATAAATTTGCTTTTGCCATTTTTGCCCATAATAGATAATTGTTTCCATCCATAGTCAATGGTGGAAATAAAAGAGTTTGAAAATGTTGAGATGCATTGATAATAGTTGGAACCATAGTAGAAGCAGTTGAAGATGTTGAAACACTCATTATAAATAAATCTGTAAAGAAAATACAAGATCAAGTAGAAAAGTTGAGTAAAACATACCTTAAAATATAAAGTCAAATAAAATGATAAACTTGAACTTGAAAAATAAAATATTAATTTTTATTTTTTTATTTTTTTAATAAGGCTATGGATTAAGGCAGTAGAATAGCAATAGGACGGTGGCAAGGTGGCCGCAGCAGGCAGCAACGATAAGGCGGCAGGGTGGTAGCAGCATCTTGGCAACTATTTGGCAGTTGTTTGGCGGCTGTTCAACAGCAAGCATGGGGCGTAGCAAGGAGCAAGCTAAAATAGAGCTAGGTTGGATCAAGTATTCTAAGCAAGTATTCTAAGCAAGCAGGGCAGAGAGTGAAACAAGTGCTCTAAACAAGCAGCTAATATGTGAGGGGCCAGCAAGAAGAGCAACAAGATCATGAAGCACACATTGAGCAAGAGTAGCAACAGGTTTTGAAGAATCATGACTAGAACAAAAATAATTGTGATAGTGTGTAGAAGAAAGTTGTGCTAATAACGTGTTGAAAATATTTAGAAAGACACAACAATAATAATAAGTAATACACACACACAAGAGTAGTAGTAAGTCATACACACAAGAGGGTTTCTAAGAAGAGAGAGCTTCACACATAAAAATCTATTGATTTGGTTGTATCTCGTATACAAGAAGAGAAAAAAGAGAGGATAAACAGTACTTCTCCACTAGACTCTAAATATTGTAGCTATGGTATTTATTGTAGTCTACAGTAAATATTATGGAAAGCACCAGCTACATTTAATGATCTCAACAAATATCAAGAGTATTAGAGTCATAAAGAATATCTAATAACAACACTAACAACAAACCAGCAGCAGTCGCTGCAACCATGAATCTACCAGCAAAACTTCTCTGCCGATACCACCACAGATCCAAACTTGCCAGATTCCACGGCTTGCACGGGCGACAAAGAAAACAACTGAGATAGGGAGATAGGAAGGTGTCTAACAATGCAGCAAGCACAAGACCGAGGAGTGCATGTTACGATCACGTCACAGGCATTCGGAACCCAAACAATCAGGCAACCACTGCCAGGATCGTGAATCGAAGTTCCACCTCCCTGAGTTCTTCGGCAACTCGTGTTGCCGACAAAAAAGTTTACTTCCTCCACTTCGAAAGCTCGCCCCTTCCAAACATAACCTGGAACGACCATGATACCCGGCTCCGTCTCGGGATTGAAAACCGTGGATAAGGCGATCTGGTGCTGACAACCACTACCTGCACCGCTGTGAACACAGCCCGTGGTATTCTGAAACAGTGAAAACGTTCACACAGCTTAGGAGCTAAGCTGTCAATTCCTTGTACCGTCAATGCATCGAGTAAACCCCGCCTTGGTGTCGAAATACAAAAAAAAAAAAAAAAACAAAACAAAACAAAATCCACAATGCTTTCACTGCAATCAAAGTGGCCAATTATCCCTCTCTCCAGACAATTGTCCGTCCTCACGGGATGCGCACAAAGCAAAAAACCTTGAAGTTCACAGAAACCTGACAAAAACAACTGCATGCTAGCTGTTCTCCTACCCAAGCGTGCTCCCGACATGATCGGAAAGTTCGCATGTGAGGAATTGGCGGCATCTCATTGCATTGCTCGACTTCCAACACGATCAGTTTCTGGATCGGCAATCCACTCGGTTCATTCCTCTGCCGCGCCGGCATCCACCATTCAACAAGAAGTGATTCCGAGCATTCAATCAGACTGGCGTCATCACATGCAAATTGTCTCCCATGAGATGCATCGTGCATCGTCGATTCGCAAATAAGTCGCAACATGTGATTCGCAAATAAGTCGCAACATGTGATTCGCATCGCCGTAACATCGGCGTTGGCTTGCAAGGGCAAGGACCAAGGATTCGCAGACTCATGGCGATGAACAGGTTGAGACGAATTAAACACAGAAGAAGAAACTCCATCCCTTGCGGACAGCATGAATCAGGAGTCTGCACTTCAGTAAAACCGAAAGCCTCAGGACTAGCTAGAGCTCAAAGAAACCTTTCCAAACACCGACGAAATACATTCAAACACATTCCTGAAAGTTCCCTGACAATTGGAAGCTCAGACCCTCGTTGTAAACACCTCCAATCCTCAAAGAATACCACATCTTCTCCTGTGACCATGTCGGCACACCGATGACACTCATCTGTCTCCCGATCCACAACACGCTCGGGCACCCAGCGACACTCGCGGGTGGTTGCGACGCATCACGGTGTGCAGAAAGTCTGACAGAAATGTGACAATACGCCGAGGGTAACAAGTACCTGACGTGCCTCGGAGACTTGTGATCCAGGTCGCACCCGCACTGAAGTTGAGCGGACACCAGCGCAACAACGCCTCCCTCGCCAGCGAACCCCTCAAACGACGATCTCCTCCTTTCTTACTGGAAAAGCCTATTCACGCAGCTTGAGACTCAGTCTCAATCATCTCACCAACGCCATTGCCATGGGCGTCACAAAATCCCTCGCAAGGAGAATCCCCGGAAAAAGAACTCTGGGGCACCGCCGCCAGCAAGTCAAGCACGACAAAGTGAAGCACACTCCACAATTGAGACCGAATCGGAGACCACGCGCAGCAACCGCAACCTCAGATAATCCCTAAACAGCCCCAAACAACAGAGCTAACGACGCTGACTGCAGCGAGCGCGATCAAAATCGAGGAGTGCGGCAGGGTCGACAGCCGCGGTTATCGTAGAGCGCCAGGACAACATAACCTCGAAACGAGGCTCCGGACTAATTGCTCACTCATGCTCGGAAAGTCTTTGCTAACCGAGGCATTGCGGAGCGGACAGCGACTGACGATGAAGCCGGGAGGGGGACAATTGAGGCACAACGGCCAGGCCTGGACTCAGTGGCCCGACCGGGCAACAAGGCATCCTTCATATCCTATCCATTGTGTGCTCCTTGCGCGCTGCTCCTCCAAAATGAAGAAAGCTGGGTCGGCAGCTCGGATGCTCCAACAGGAAACAACGTCGCCGGGATGGACACCGGACGTGCTCAAGGGCCACGTTCGGACACCCGGACATGCAAGAATCGGAGAATCCAAACACCAGCTCCGCGATGGTGAACAAAGGAAGTCGCTGAGCGAGGTCTGAACTAGGAAGTGACTTCGACACTGCTGACTTCGCAGAGGGTGGAGAACACGTGCTCGTCCGCACTGCAACACGTCCTTGTGGATGGAGGAGGAGCACAGCAGCAAAGTGTCCATCCAGTGACCTTGAGTGCAGTCGAGGTGCTGGTTCCCATGCAATATTGTGGGTTCCGCGCACGCAGAATGTGCGCGCGTATGTGTTGTGTGCAGCAGCAGCTGCTGCAGGAGGCAACAAGATTGGAGGTCAAGCAGGAGCCCGGTCGCGGAAGATGACATAATGCGCGACAGGAGCTGTGGGTGCGGCGATTGAGCAGCTTGGAAAAGAGATGCGCGGTGGAAGGGAATTGTGCTCCACGATGAGCAGGGGAGTGGTGCACAACTCGGGCAGCAGCGGGTGGGGTGCATGAGAGGCAGGTCGTGCAAAAGAGCGTCGTGGTGGGAAGCAAGAAGAAAACTCCTTGACGGGGTATCGGGAGAATCGAACTCCCGACCTCTTGCACCCTAAGCAAGAATCATACCACTAGACCAGATACCCTCGCTCGCTGGATCCCTTCGCTGCCTGTTCAGAATGCCTCCAGAATCGCTTATACCTACTCTCTCTGCAACCATGCTCTCCTCATTGCAGCGGCTGCCGTGCTGCAACCCACCACAACCTCTCACCCCTCACTAATGCCAATATAAGCGCGGGTGCGGCACACACACCCATGGATAACAATATGTACAATGATCGGGTGTCTCTCCTCCAAAGTAAGCCACCTAAGCTGTCATGTTCTTCCCATCACAACAACCCTCACTTTGTGTAGACAGCGTTTACGTTCTAATCTCACCTGGAACTCCAACACACCATGCTTGTGTCGTGTTGAAGACAACCATGTTTCTTGACCACACAACTAGTTGTAGTTGATATGTTCAAGCTATCATTCATTGCTTACACATGAATAGAAAAACAAGGTAAATAAGCCACAAATCACACGAGTTACTATGATCATACTGACCATGAACGCCACTACAGGACACTGCTGCTACACGCAATACTCGACTGCATTTACTTCGCGACAGATGAGTAACTTATACACAGTTAGTTCATCGATGCTAGGCTGAAACCTAGATGGTGATGGATACCCGATGGTCCTATTGATGTCTAGGTACGGCTGAGCATAGGTCTCGGGGCGCATTGCTTAACAGTACTAAGTTTTAGAAACATGAATGACACATTAGGTTCAACTTTAAATTCACATGTTGTGTAAAACTATCTGTGCTGTTGAATTTTTTATTTAACTCCAAGATTTGTGAGGTAATAATAAAGATGGTTGGAATTTTTTCAATATTCACATCACTCTAAATAATGTTTCATTTTAATGATCATCATGGAAAGAGAACCACATCTATCTATGAATCCAACATCCGACTCTAAATCCAATCATACCTTTTATGTTAGAAAAATATTTACTTAATCATCTCATAACAAACTTAGCAAATTTTAAAAACCAATATTGCATTCTTGAACTTTAGAAGAAAAAAAAAAAGAAAAAAAAAGAAAAAAAAAAAAAACTTATCATGACAATCTTATGATCTATACGTATCTCAACCTTCCATTATCTACCATTATTGTAAAAAAATTGCAATCAAGAGAACTTATTGTCACGGATATACATAAGTACTTTGGTAAATATCTATATGGTTAGGTAGAAGTAGATAAAAAATAGATAAAAGTAGATTAATTTCATAATACCTTCTAGAGAAGCTTCTTAAAAGTTTCATAGATGCTACTTTGACTTTACATATGTTTGTAGTTTATTAGTAGGTTAGAAACTTGGTCAATAAGTTAACTATGTATTGGTAGCTTGCAGAACTAGCTAACTATGTGGCGCACATATAAAAAACTTGCCTTACAAGTTATGTGTCTTGCAAAGTCAACATATTTTGGAGGTCCTATAGGACATCGCCACATAGTTCCTAGTTAAGAGTATATGTGGAGGCAAGAGTGAAGCCTTCTTCACTCTTGTCAATGCCTTTCTAGTCCTTAGTCTTATTTCAAGACTTTCTAATATTCTTGTTTTTGGCAATAGCCATTCTAGTTCAATATTATATCATCTTTGAGTGACTTTCTAGTTCCTTTCAATGATGCAAGAGTGTATTGAGGATTTTCTTTCTTCAAGTTTTATATCCTTGACACTTATGACCACATACAAATAATTTCAATAAAAATAAGTCTTTATATTTATTCAATATTTTTTCTTTAAATAATATTTTATTTATATGTTTCTTAAATTTTGGTACTAATCAACATACAATTCTATTTAGATCCTTACTTTGAAACTATTAAGATCTATCAAACCTTCAAACAATACTTTTCAATGATATTTGTCTTCATAAGGCCATTGAATATGGCTTTTTTGTTATTTAATTCAAAACTAGACAAACCTTATTAATTTAAGATATTTTCTTATACATGGTTTAGCCAAGAATCTTATTTCAATCGCATAACTCACTATTGTGATATTTTTATAATTTTTGGATATAATTAAGATATTTTAAAGCCTAAATTATTTTATTTTTAGATATTAAATTAAAAATTAATTTAAAAAAGATAATTTATTTCTATGAAGAACTGATACTAAATCTAGTAATTTTATTTTTACAGCAATTACATTAAGAAAAATAAATATTGAGAATCTACAATGGTATTACCATGTCAAGCACATCAATCCTTGCTACTTAAATATTAAACAAATAAATGATCTAATAATTAAATTGCCACCAATTAAAGCTACTTTAACCCTTTATAAAGATTATATCTTTTTAAAACATTCCAAGTCACCATATCCTACTAAATACGTAGTATAATTAATAAAAGTTCTTATTTTAATATGAATTGATCTTTGTGGACCTATGTCCAAGCCATTATTGAGTGTTTTTTTTTTTAAAAAAAAAATTATTTATTGATAATTTAATAAAAAAAATTATTATTAGTATTTTTTTAAAGATTTTTATTTATTATTTTTCAATATTTCTCTATTATTTTTTAGATTAATTTTTGACTTCTTGTTGTTTTTCTTTTTTAATTTTATTTGAATTTTTTTCGAATTGGCTTAAATTTGATTAGAATTATTGAAGATTGTTTAGAATTTATTTAAGATTCTATTAGACTTGATAAAATCTTGTTATTGTATTTTTTATTTACCTTCCATAATTAAATGCTTAGTACATTCTCAAGTAAGAATTCACGTTATAAGACAACAAAAAGGAAGAAAGATAGGTCAAATTCCTCTTGAAAGCTTACTTCTTTTTCTTCTATTTGCTTCTAAATCAATAATCAAATTATTACTCTCTTCGATAAAATTATAATTAGAATTATTCTAAAATTTTAAATAATTTTTTTGAGAAGCAATCTTCTTTCAACACTTATTCGTAATTATCTCTTTATTTAAGATTTTCTACACACAATTCATTCAATAATTATATATTTTCTATTTTTAATATTTTTTTTTTCTCTAAAGAAAGTTTCTTAAAAAAAAACCGCCTAAGCTCTTCATTGATAGTGTCTATCAACATTATATATTACTTGATAATATTATATTAGATCAAGGAGTGTAATTCTTATCCAAGTTTTGGAATTCACTCTTTAAAATCCTTCAAGTAAATATCAAGTTATCATCAATTTTTTATCTACAATCTAATAGTCAAATAGAATAATTCAATTAAGTTCTAGAGCAATGCTTAAGGTGTAGTATTAACTATCAATAAGATTATTATATTTCCTATTTGCTGCTTATTACATTCAACCATGAAAACTTCAATTAGAAGAAGCTCAAGAAAGATCTAAAGCAACAACAAATAGACTTAAAAAAAAAACAAGATTTTTTTGGAATTGATGACAAAGTATTTTTTCTTTGGTACAATATAAGAATCAATTGACTATGCAATAAATTAGACTATTAAAGAATAAAGCTATTTTCTATTTAAAAAAAAATTAATCTTATTGCTTATTATTTGGAGTTATTAGCATCAATGAAAACAAATCTTGTTTTCAATGTTTTTCTTTTATAACTTTTTAAAGAATCAAGAATATTAAGAAAAAAATAAGTGACACCAACTTCTATTAAAATAAATAATCATAAAAAATTTGAGATAGAAAAAAACACTTGATTCAAGGATAAGGCAAGGACAATTGGAATACTTTATACATTGATGCAATTATATTATTAGTGACTGCACATAGAAGCTTGCTCAAAATTTAATAAATGTATCTCAAACAGCATAGGATTTTTGTTAAAACCATTCTTCCAAATCAAAAGTAGCAATATATACAACTACTAACAAATAACATTGCCATGATATCTACTCTATAAGAATGAATACTGTGCTTCTAATTTTTTTTTTAAATTCTTTATAGAAAGAAAAAAAATAACTACAAAAGTTTTTAAATTAAAATTCTGTAGACAATATAAATAGAAACTTAGATATATTCTATTATACTTTAATATTTGAAGTATATCTTGTTTTAGCTTAGTAGTTTTACAAGTCAAAAGTCTTATTGGTCATTGCAACCAACAATAATGATCAATACCTTCTATTTGAAACTAAGCTTATACTTTAGTACCTTCATTGTAAAAACTTCTTTCAAACACCACTTTTAGACAGCCATCATGAGTAGGTTCTAATTCAATAATAATTACCAATGATTGGTTATTAGGTATTCTTAAAAATCTTTGTAATTTAAAAAATTCTTTATCTTAAGGTCCATCATGTAAACTATTTGATTGAAATGGTCTAACATGCAAACTATTATTGTCTTAATTATCTAAAAAAAGAAGTGATATCATAGATATCTATCTAAAGAAGATTTTAGAAGATTCTAAAAAATATTTAAAGATTCGAAAAGGTCTTATAAGGTCTTAGAATATTTTAGAAAATTCTAAAAGATGTTTGCAACATTGCTTAATATATAAGCAATATAAGAAATTAGAAGAGAAGATTCTTAAGATTGCTTCACAATGAAGCAATATAGAATCTGCTCAAGAAGCATTCCAGAATGACTTAGGATCAAAGTCTTTTATAAGAATTTATTTAAAAGCTTTTTGAATTATTATATATATAATAGTTAAAATTTAGAGATTCTTTAGTCTTCACAATGCATATCTTGTGGTCTAGTTTTGGACCTTCTAATCTTATTCTTATTTTGTTATTGCATTCTTTGATAATAAATCTTATATAGCTTACTATAATATTATATAGTCTTTAGATCTTGTCCATAATACCTAGTTGCATATAGTGATTAGATTATAAAATATAAATTTTTATATAAAGAATTCTATTTTAAAATATGATTATCACATCTATTTGATAAATATAATAATCAAATATTATAGCTAATGCTAAAAATATTCTTATAAAAATCATCTTATAGAATAGACATTATATATCAAAGTAATCAATGTTTACTTACGAATAGTCTTTGGCTACAAATTTGGCCTTATCACATCATAAGATGCTAATTGAGTTGAATTTTTATTCAAAAATTGATTTTATATTAATCAAAAAAATTGTTTCAAAGAAGACCAAATAGTACCTAATCCTTCATATTAAATAAATTTTGATATTCTTTATCTTAAATAATTTTTCTAATAAATTGCATCAATGCTTTTAAAAGTTTTAAAAATTGATTTTGGATCATAGTTTTGAATAATAAACACAAAAGAATAAAAATTGAGATTATAAAATTTTATTAATTTCAAAGATTTGTGGATTGTATTTCATAAGGTTCTTAGTTAAGAATCTTATTAACCCTAGTATATAAAAGCTAATAGATACAAGATCAACTTAGACTACAAATTGTTTAAATTACAGTCACATTTAGATAAGACTTTAGATAAAATTTAGATATTATTAAAAATTA